CCCTACAGCAGAAACCTTGTTAAAAAATGTAAAAACTTTAGAAAAGACTCAAGACCCAGCTGTGGTGGCATACTATTCAGACACTGTGCTCTGCAAGTTAGGACCACATGGGAGACCTGAGTTCAATTCCCAGTCTAACCTAAAATTGGGCATGGTGGCAGGCACCTTATATAATCAGGAGGCTGAGGCAGGAGAACTGCAAGTTTGAGGCTGGCCTGGACAATATAGCAAGAGCCTGTCTGAAAGGAAACAGGTGGGGTGGTATGCTCGGGAATCCCAGCTGGGAGGCTGAGACACTGTAACCCAGCCAGACCCAGCAAGACCCAGCCAGACTCTGCTATACTCTGCTTTAAAAACGAAACAAAATGAAACAAACAAAAAAAAACCCTCAGTGCTAACCATTAAAAAAATTCTAAGTGTTTTACGTATATACATACATATGTGTATTATTTTTGGAAGAATATAAATGTAGTCCCACCATATCTATACCCCCCACCCCCCACCCCCCACGGGGATGGCTATGCCACAATTCTTTCTCCGCCTGCACATGCACCTGATGTGAGTTTGAGCCGCCAGGTCCGAGACTCGAACCACAGAAGACTATGTGGGAGTCCAGCAACTTAACTATTATGCCATCTGCTGGTACTGTCTAATTTATATGGCCATGACAAGTCTGTTGGTTTGTTTTTAAAACAGTCACAGTAAGAAATGATGCCACTGGGAACCAGCAGTTAGCATAATGGCTATGTCGCTGGACTCCCACGTAGTCGACCGCGGTTCGCGTCCTGGACCCGGTGGCTTAAAACTCACGCTGGGCGCGTGTGCGTGCGTGCCCAAGATCCCGAGAGGAGAATGGAGGAGAAGGGATTGCAGCGTGACCATCCCCCCTGGGGGGAGATTTCTCGCTTTCTGTCTCTAATGTCTCTCTCTGTCTGTCTGGCGAGCGCACGCGCCCTACAGTGAAAATCTCTCAAAAAAAAAAAAAAAAAAAGAAATGATGCCACTAAGTGAGAAGTTTCTGTACCTTGAACAAGTTTCTTCTAGAGCCTAAATCAGGTTTGCCACTCCTGTGGCCTCACGTGGCACTAATAAATCTAGACTATCTAAACGTAATCTGGCAGACTTAATAAAGACTAAAGAAAGTGTGTGTGGAGTAATAATGGACTGCCATTCCTCCCGGAAAGTGCTCTCTGGCTGTCTTTTAATTTGCATTGAAAGCTACACTCTT